ATTTTAATCTGTTTTTGAATTATTGGCGTCTCGACTTTTCTATGCCAAAAAAGCATAAAATTTATGAAAATTTCTTAAGTTCGACATTAAAAGTTTTTGATAACTCTTACTATTTAGTACCAATAAACCCCATTTTCGACGTGCTTTAATTTGGTATAAAATAAGTTATGTATGCTATTTGAAATTATAGTGTTACCCCCCTGGAAAAACATTTTTAGCCACTCTGTAGTAATTGATAACCCAAGGGCATCCCCAATATATAGTATATGATGACCCAAGGATACTTCCAATATATAGTGCTTGAGGACCCAAAGGTACCCTCAATATATAGTATATGAAGACCCAAGGGTACCTCCAATATACAGTAGTTGATGACATAAGGGTACTCCCGAATATAGTAGATGATTACGTAGGATAACCCCGTTTCAGAGTGCATGAAGAGTTATGGGTACTTCCATAAATGTTTATTCACTTTTATGAATTTTTTAAGTAAAATTTTTTTTATAGTGAAAGATTTACTTTAACTTTAAATTTTTTAAAGTTAAAGTTAAAAGTATGGTCACTTTAACTACTTTAACCTGTAAAGTTTAAAGTTAAAGTGCCACCCCTATTGATGACCGCATTGATTAATAGTATCGATGATGTTTGTTCTTTCGTTTCAGCTATAGTGGTCGATGAAAAATAGGGGTATGTATATCAAACAACTGATAAATGTAAACCAAGAGTGAGAGGATAAAGCTCAATAACAAATTATATTCTTTGCAGAACAAGTGAAAAAATTTACTCAAATTTAATACAAAAAAAAGGGACGCTTCTCATAGCATCATGAAAAATATGAATCATCAAATAGGTAAAAAACAATGATCATCGAAAACAAATCATCAATAACATAAAACTTGCTCATCTTCATGTAATAATAAAACAAGAGATACTTATGTAATATATTAATTTAAATCTATAGAATTTCAATATCCTTTGTCTCTTTAATTTGCTTTTTTGACCATAAATAAATGCATAAAAAGAGATTTTACTTGATTTAGTTTTTTTTTCATTTTTTTGTCTTGTACACAATTTCATAGGATCTTGTATGGTTATGGAGGATTAGAGAGATCATTTCTATATAATCTTGGAAGAATCGTACACGATTTTATATGTGATTTGTTTTAACTTGCCTTTAGTTAAATATAAATTAGAATTATTTTTATGTTTAAATTATTTTTTTTGCTTTTACTTTAGATTATTTTATTGACTAGATTAGATTCAAGTAAGTTTCTTCGTACTCTTTCTTTCTTTCTTTTTGCCTACGAAATGAGAAAGACATTGTTGCACGTTACCAGGACAAATGTGATTACTTTCTTTTTATCAGAACATTGAAATTTCGTAACACAAATTCTTTGGTCGTTCTTTGTGATTTCATTTTCCCACGTTTGCACACATAACTAGATATTCAACTTTCTCACGAAATGACAATACACCCCCGTATGAAATTATTGCATATTAATATCGCTTCTGTTTTGTTGATGACGAGTATATAGACGAATGTCCATCTTCGTTGATACTTTTTCTTTGAGGTCTTTAGTTTAGTACAAGTAAATTTCTCTTCTTTATACAAGATTAGATAGACCGATTATTTTATCATTCAACTTTTTTTTACGTTGAATGATCATTTAATACAATTTATTTATTTTCTAGTTTAATATATTTTAGATATAAAAAAGATGTTAACAGTTCGATACTGTTTACTAGTTTTGGGTTTTGTAATGTGGTTTGCTATTGCAATGCCAATTGATAAAAAAAATAGATCATCATCATTATTATTATCAATTGTATATGATCAACGATTAATAAAAAACAATTACATTGTTCGTATTAGAAATGCATCGATTAGTCATCTACTTAATACAACAGCATTTAAAGAAAAGTTACGTCAAAAAAGAGATAGTGTCGATAATACAGATATCAAGGCAGTTGTAGCAACTATTAATGATCATCGTATGATGATTGATGATCATAGAACTATGATCAATAACATAATAAACAATTCAATTAATATAAACAATCTTCAGGCAGCCGTTTCGAATCATTATTCAAAAACAACTCCGATATGGAGTAGTTAGAGAGACATTGAACTAATTTTTTTACTTTTTATGGCAATTGTTCAAATTGGTTTTTGTTGTATATGTTACGTCCAATTAGAACCATGGGATTATATAGTATCATGTATTTTTGAACGTCATCAGAGGCGTCAATTGGAAAAAGAAAGAAAAGTTTCAAGACGGTTAATTCATAATAATACACTGAATATGGAACATATAAAACCGAAAGAACAATCTATATATCCAAAACTTAATGTGTCAACTATTGAAGAGGGGTACGCAATTATTCATAATAATGATGTCGCACCTGAATCAACAAAAAAAATTCAACAATAAGCGATTAAAATAAAACAAGACTGTTTTTATTATTTACATCTTCATTCGTTTTCTATTTTGATTCTCTAGCATTGAAATTGCATGCATATCTTATTAGTAAGAATAAATGTTGGTCGATTATTTGTCAAGTATTTTTTTCCATTAAAATTGTAGACGAATATCAATTGCTAATCATAATTTTTTTTTATTGTAGATATATACAGTCCTGAAGAGTACTATCTTTTCAAAGGTACGAAACGCGTCGGCAAAGATTTAACTCTGCATTATTATAATTTATTTATATTTAATAACAGCACACGTTATTTTTATATTTATTTTCAATTCATCTGTCGACATAATCGAGTGCTGAAAAGCACAAATTGAGATTAGCCAATTGAATACTTTTTCTTTTTAACGGAGAAAGTTCAATTTGTTTTCAATTGATTTCTGAAGAAGCAAAAATTGAGAGTAGCAGATTGATTTATATTATTTTAAAATATATAGATTGATCTGTTTTCAAACTGGTTGATGCACCCAAAGAATTGTAGAAAGTTTGTTGGAAGTTTTGATTTATTGAGACTTTCATAGAACTTTCACTATTTTGAAAAAGTTGATCGACATGGAGTTCTATTAGATTCTGACCTTAAATAAAGATGACCCTTCAGCAAGGTCGAAACGCGTCGTAAGTATTGCTCAGATTCTAATAATCATTCAATTATGAACATACTTACACCCATCCACACACACTCTCACATCGACACCAACATTTATATCCACACCCCATGCAAGTTCAGATATTCTTGAATAAAAGTACTCGTACAAAATTGTACTTTATTCCACTCGAGAATCTGCAAATTAATGAAGCAGTTTAGCACAAGATATACAATTAGGACCATTATATGGTCCGCACTCGATGTACTTGTATGTTCCTTCGTCTGTCAGTTGTTCCACAGATTTCGTTCCACAATAGAATAAACCTGTTTCACCTTGTTTAGCTAACCTTCCTTTATCGTTATATTTTGATTGTTCACCGCCATATTGGCGACATGTTGGACAATTTGGTCCACTTGTGGGCCCACAATAACCGTCAACACCTATTTTACCAAATGGTGAGTTATTATTTTCCATGTTGTGTCGTCCACAATAGAACAAGCCGGTTGATCCCTTTCTAGGATTCCATCTATTACTCTTAACAGGTGGATACAATAAATTCAGTGCCATTTTGTCACCATTAGAGAGATGATCTCTTTGATGTTTTGCCCATAGATTCACTTCACGCAAGTAACTGTTAGAAACGTCGGTAGCATAATGCATGATGGAATCAGCATCGTATCTACCAATGATGAGTCCTTGTATATCGTAGTTTGGATTACCACTAACAGTACATTGAACATATTCATTTCGGTCTTTGCGTTGATGTTCATGTGTGAAGCCTAATGCATGCATCAATTCGTGCAATACATTACCTTTCTGAGCCCATTGTGCCACTTCCAGATCTTGAGGGCCCCCTATCATTCCAACCCAGGATTGTGTTTTATCGCTATAAACGATACGAATATAGTTTCTCTGTGCATTTGTCTTGTTAAACTGAATACCGGGTGCCGCTTCTTGTATTTCATTGATAGCTTCTGTTACTATTCTGCGTTTTTCTTGTGGCAAATTGTCATCAAAGTAGTAATTTACGATGATGCATTGATCGTTATGATTCTTGTTTTGGTTACGTACATCTTCAATTCGCACACCGTCCCAGCGAAATCCATCGTGCAATACATTACCTCTAGTGCAACTCATTTTCTTAGGTTACTCTCACTGTTATTAAGAGAACTGTGCTATAAATATCTAAAACAAAAAAAGCAAGAGCGATCACATTTGTATCAGCATTTCTTTAAAGATCAATGAGAAAAGTATTTTAATTGTTTCAGAAGTCCTAATGTTATGAATTGGCCTCGGTTATATCGCATTAAGATCTAGAAGAATATCGAATAGATTCATATATATGATCGAAATGATTCAATCAGAAAGCTGTTTTGTTTCTTTTTGTAATTACCTAATGTCGGATGAAATCTTTCAATAGTCCATGTAAAAAAAATTAGAAAGGGTGTGGGTGTGGGTGTGGGTGTGGGTAGTATTAGTTGATCGTCCACACCCACACCCACACCCGCATATGGATGTGGCCAATCGGCTTGATATCCTAAGATTTATTTGCTCATGTAGCTGGTATTAGTTATCAGAAAAATGTGAATTTTTTTAGCAGTTATAAATTGCAGATAATGCTAATGAATGGATATTGTTTGAGCTGTATATCCTAATAAGAAAGAGAATTATCGATTGTTTTTTATATCCAGTTTGTTAGAAGAACTCTGTATCAGATTTTTTACACTTACATCGATTTCTATTGAAGTATTTCAAACAACATGAGATACTAATAACAAAGTTTTATTACTATGTAGTTAATTTTCAACTATATCTAACGTAAAATGTTGTATACTAATAAGTGAAATATTCAGCCAATTGTAGAGTAGATAGAATATAAGTGCCTTTGCAATTTTAATAAAGCTGGTGAAAGCCATCAATATCTTCTTTATAGACAAGGCTCAAATAATGAAGAATTGAGAAGTATAGAACATCTTATGTCGGGTATAGTTGCAATTTAACTACATAGTAATAAAACTTCGTTATTGATCCCTCATGTTGTTTGAAATACTTTAATAGAAATCGATGTACACCCTTGGACAAAAGTCTTCCTTTTCTGTGTTTTTATACTATCATACTTTGCATGAAATTTATTACCAAGTAAAGATATAACATGAGTTTTATTGCAGTGTGATCTGTACACCATACTGCAATAAAACTCTCATGTTATATCTTTACTTGGCAATAAATTTCATGCAAAATATGATAGTATAAAAACACAGAGGAGCAAAGACTTTTGTCCGAAGCTGTATCATATGTCCATAAAAGGACTCATGATCTCGATCACGCTTGATAGAAGTAAGAAATCATTTCAAAAGAATCTATATGACCCACTTTTGCGAGATGAACACGAATCTGAAGTTAGTTTTCATGATTTCTAGAGAAATTTGTAGGAAGTATGCTCTATGGTCAGTAGATAGGGTAACCCACAGTGTGGTCCATGCTAACTTGGTCCCCATCCGGCTTTTGACCTTGGCAGTTTAGTGTCAAAAGACGTATCTTGATGAAATCTTTATCTGGTGAAAAAAGAACTCTAGGACCTTGTAGAACACGGAAGAAAACTCCAAAATACCGACCATCCGGAGCGAGCCATTTCTCGCGTTTTGAACAGGGTGTTGGTGTAGGTGTGGGTGTGAGTTGTGGGTGTGGGGTCGGCTGTGGGTGTGAGTGTGGATGTGGGTGGGTGTGGGTGTGGGCGAGTGTGGGGGTGCCGGTGTGGATGAATATAATATCCACGTGTATCCGCACCCACACCCACTATGGTTGAAGTCCATTGAAGTCTTTGGAAGTCTTGAAGTCCGCTGTTTCCCCCTTGGGTCACCCCTTCAGCACTGTCACTAACGTTGCTAAGTTGTTTGCCTGCCAACAGATTCAATAAACTACTCTTACCCATGCCACTTGATCCAATGATCAGGACGCGTCGCTTCTCTTCTAATGCCATTGAGAATTTTATTTTATGAAACCAAACCGCTTTTTGTTTATAATTAGATGCATCCTTCTGTATGATAGCAATGCTTTTATACATGTTTATGAATCATTTAGAGATTTTTCTTGGCTTTTTCCCATTTGACGTTTCTTATCTTTATGATCAGTTGACACAGTCACAACAATCATGATTTGTGCAAATATAAGCAGTTTCACAATAACGAGTTATTCATTTAAACCTTTATAAAAACCGTGTTTTGAAAAGGAATTCAACAACTAGACATCGAAACCAACCTTATTCAGATTTATCACCAGTGAGCAATACCTGCGTGTAGTCATGAACATTTCCATGGTATCAAGTCGAATTAGGACCTCTGCATTGCCTATGGGATTTAGGAATTGCTATCTAATTCACAAATCACGTCATGTACCTAGAGTCTTAACCTGGCTTATTTCCGTGGAAATATCCATCTCCGTCTGCGTGCATACTATTTGACTTCTCGGAATTTCACCAAATGGATTATTATGAATGACAAAAGTGCAGTGGGCCCTCACCGATTCGTGAGTTACTAGTATATACTAGTGAAAGGCTTATTGGAGAAATTCAAGAATCCTTGATAGTTTTTAGAACTTGATACCATTTACTTGTAGTTCTTACATGTGCACTCAACAAAACTATCTCTGTAGTTATACCTAATCTCTGAGATAATGTGCATTACAATGCAACTGTTTCTCAAAGAGGGATGTCACACCCAGGTCAAAACTGTACGGCAGGAAACAGTCGGATCCTGTGAAATTCCGGCCAATTCTTGGAAGCAGTGTTCCAAAATCGGATCCGGCTTCCGGATTCTGCTTAGTTCCCGCTAATTCCTGCACCTGGCTGCAATGTTTGGATCCGGTTGTTGTTTCCAGTGCGGTTCTCGACCAAGTTTTCCGTCTTATAGCACGCTAACTGGATCCGAGTTGTATACCTGCCGTTTCCGGTACATTTCCGAACTATGGTTCCGGTGTTACTTCCCAACGAGAGAATCCGGTTCTAAGGCACCTGTTTCCGTTCCATTTACAAAGTCCACATCCAGCCGTATTAAAGACCTTTGAAAGATATTTAAGATCTTCCAAAGACTTTCAAAGATCTTTCAAAAGACTTTACAAGACTTTGACAGATCTTAGAGAGATCTTTCAAATATCTTTCTAAGGCTTTCAAAGATCTTTCACAGACTTTCAAAGATCTTCCAAAGACTTGCAAAAATCTTTCAAAGACTTTATAAGACATTGAAAATCTTTGAAAGATCTTAGAGAGATCTTTCAAATATATTTCTAAGACTTTCAAAGATCTTTCAAAGACTTTACAAGAGTTTGAAATATCTTTGAAAGATCTTAGAGAGGCTAGTTTTATCTTCGACATTCTTTCGACTGGCTATTTGCTTTTCGTCATTTTTTTTCTCCAGATTATTTTTTTCTCCATTTCTTTTTCGCTGTTTTTTCTCGCTATTCTTTCGTTCACTATTTTTTCTTTCGGTCAATTTAATGCCATTCCTATTATATTTCAAATTTATTGTTTTCGGGCATTTCTCTTTACGTATGTGGAACGGCCGTGAGAGATATTGCTTCTCCCTTTTTCTGTCTCCTCATTCTTTACGATTCATTCACATTGAATATAATTATATGAATGAGTTCCTCTAGTTATGAGAAACATGTTTAGTGAGAGGAATTTCGTCGAAAGCTGATTAATTCAAATTTTGAAACTAATTTTTTGTCCAGAAATAAATTTGCTTTCAAAGTCTTTGAAAGACTTAAGAAATCGGACGCGTAATGTGTAAGGATAGACAGTGGTGTATCCAGGATTTTTAGACCAATGGGCAAACTTCTCTAGTGTTGGAAAAAAATGGTGGGCAAAATGGGCGAGGCTTTTATCGATAGGCCAGATGTTTTCTTGCTCCAAAAACTACTAATAACGTAAAAAAACCACAAAAAATGAGGTTCTTTTAACCAGATATGCATCAAACTCGAAGTTCAACCCTAAGTCGCATGTGTTTTGCATATATTTAAGAGAGAGTCCGCGAGAGAAGATCCCTACTCAATGCGAAGGTCGCCGGAGAAAAAATATTTCGATTTTTTTATGTCAAATGAAAGGTCTAGGCAAACCATAAACAAATCCAAAATATTAAGTCATTTGACTTTATCTATGAAAAATGCGAGCTGAAACAAGTTTAAGAGGATTATTTTTGACCTCAAAAACTGCTATTCTGAGGGTATGCTCAGTATTTTGACATTATCTCACGAACGGCTCGACTGTTTGAACTCAGAAACGTCTCATTTTATAGAGAACAGTTTATGCTACAACTTTATGCGATTCAAGTCCTAGACATATAAGCTGATAAAAACACCATCGGCCAAAACCTGTTCAAAACGCGAGAAATGGCTTGCTCCGGATGGTCGGTATTTTGGAGTTTTCTTCCGTGTTCTACAAGGTCCTAGAGTTCTTTTTTCACCAGATAAAGATTTCATCA